CACAGTAATAAAAGCCTGCCTTTCTCTCTACACAGACTATAGTTCCAACTAACTCAGCAACAGGAAAATTCCAATTTCCCTTTTGTACCAATAGCATTCCCCTGATACACACATGCGCGCAATGCCTAACACAACCTTCACTCTGTAGATGCACAATCCTCACCATCTCATCCAATCCCCCTCTTTCCTCAACAAAACCTTGCAAATACTCTGATGTCCATTTCTACTTTTAAGTATATGGCCAAATCCCCTCAAGTCCTCATAATCTACAGTAATCCCAAATAATTTACCCACAAGAAGAGTGCACTGATGCCCTCACAGACAGAAACATGTACTGCCTGACACGTCACAAATACAGGTCCCTATGTTTCCACAGTCTCTACTAGCATACATGTAGGCTCTTCTCCAAACAGCACCACAGTGTCCTCAACACATAGCAACTGCCACAGGATTTCCACTTGGGATTCCAGAGCTTCAACACGCAGTATCCAGGCCTTCTATGTCACCGCAGGTATGACAGCAACTCACAGCTCCTGACATGTTCCCAGGACAAAGACCCTGCTGCTCGCTGTCCCAGCCTGCCTCACCACACCAGCAGTAGGGCTCACCCAGCTGCAGACAGCCACATATCCTCAGGCTCTCACTACACGCACCAGGCAAACCAACTTGTATGCAGTTAGGACCACGCGTGTCTACCTGCCCACATACCAGCTTGTAATACACACGAAGGTCAGACACATTGCGGCTTACCACGCCAGGTACCAACGGAAATAAGTTAAGAACCCTGGTAGGAACTTCTTGTATCTGTGCCTCAGCTACCACCCGAAGTCGCCCTCCCCCACAGTGTTTAGAGGACACGCAACTTATCCCTTTACCTCTCACACCCTATACAGGACCATCCACCTATTGCCGCTAGATTTATAAGCCTTCACATACCACTGTTCCTAAACACGTGTGGTTTCACCCACCATCTGCATCTCCCAAGTATAAACACAGATATAAACATGCCCCTCAGCCTACCCCACACACAGCTGCCTCCAGTCCATCAGAATGACTCCCACTCTCCGCCTAGCCATAACGTGCAGCTACGCCATACCCACAACCATACACGGCGGTCCCAAACCCCTCGACCTTCCAGCCACAACAGGAGAATCTCCAACTTCTCTCCCTTCCCCACGACCCTCGCAGCAGCGCTGCCCCTGGAGGCGTGCCGGCAGCTCCTCCGCGCAGCCCCCGCTCCCCGCGGCTCCCGGGCCTAACGCCAGCTGCCCGCTCCGACCCGAGGCCCGCACTACCGCTCCCGGGCACACACCGCCGGCGGCCCCGCCATTCGCCCGGGCGCAGCCAATGCACGTGCGCGGGTCCGGCTCGCCCACCCCTCCCGCCCTTTCCTCGCTCCGCTCCGCTCCCCACGTTACCTTCGCGGGACCGGACCTAAGAGCAGCACCCGGCCCACGGGCCTCTGCTCGGGGTTCGCCTCCCCCGGGAGGCCGGCGGCGGCGCCGGCGCGGCCCGGAGCTCGGCACGGCGAGGCGGAGGCCGGGCCTGCGCGGTACCTCCCCGCTGCCCGAGGCAGGCGCGCAGCAGGCCCTGCCCGCCCGCCGGCCCCACGCGAGCAGGCCGCCCCCCCGCCGCGCGCAGGGCCCTCCCGTTCCGCAACGCCCGCTCCTGAGCCCCTCCGCCCCCTCCCCTTCGCCGGCCAGCCGAAGCCACGATCCCGCGGCGGGCCCCGACCCCGCTACCTGTCGGCGAAGGAGCACCGGCGTCCCCCGGCGTTCGGGCGCCGGGCGGCCCGGCTCGGGCCCGGACCCGCCTTAGATCGGCTCGGGGGAGCCCGGGTAGTCCTCAGGCCTGGGCCGCCCTGCGCTGGCCGCCGCCGGCCGCGGTCGCCGCGCGCTCGCGCACTCCGAGCGCCGCCAGCAGCGCCGACATGTTGGGAGCCCCCGTCCCGAAGGCCGCCGCCGGGCCCGCCCTCTCCTCCGCCCACGTCACGGAGCCGCGGGAGGGGCCCGGCACCCGGCCCTCCTCCGGCTCTGCCTATTGGCTGATGCGGCCGTCGCTCAGCCCGGCCCGCCCTCCCCGAGAGGCCATTGGCCTCCCGCCCCGCTCGCGCTACCCTGCCACGTTGCCATTGGCCGATCCGTTCGCCGCTCACCCGCCAGCCCCCGACGAGGAGCTTTCCCTGATTGGGTACCGCGCCCCTGTTTCGTTAACGACTGGCTGCCCCTCTTGTCAATCAAGGCTCCGCGCACGGAGACTGCCTTTCTCCACTCTTTTTCCCCCGGCCTCGCAGCCTGGGTAGGGCTGACGGAAGCGGCTGTCAGTGAGCGCCTCGCCCCTCCCCGCAGCCCTCCCCCCGCCGCCGCCGCCTCTCCCTCCCGGCGCGTTTTGCCTGCAGGCCATTGGCTCCCAGCGCCGCCAGTCGCGCGGCCTCTCCTGCCCCGGCCGCTGCCGCTCGAAATGGGCGTGGCCCGGGCGGCGGGTGCCTCCTACCGATTGGCCCTCTCTCCTGCCAATCCCACGGGGACGGTGGGCTCCCGCGGAGCTTCAGCGCGCGGGCGCCGCTCCGCGCGGCGATTGGCCACATCGCGGGCGGGGAGGGGAAAGGTGCGCGGCCCCCCGGGGGGCGGCGGGCAGTGCCCGTATGTGCGCGCGATGACATCACCGATAGCCAATCAGGAGGCGCGGGGCCGGCCTGCCGGCTGCAGCGAGGCGGAGGCTCGTGATCGTCCGTTGGGGCCGTTGTGCTGCGCGAGGCTGGCGGCGCGGGGTGGGGGGGGGGGGGGAAGTGCTGGGGTGCTATCATGTTTGTCACCGCAGCCGAGCGGGCTTGGGGTCACCATTAGAAGGAAAACCGGCTCCCGGGCTGGGCTGCAGCCCTGGATGGTGCTGCTGCTGGCTGCAGCGAGACACAGGGGAGTCCTCGTAAGCCAGATGTCACAGGAATGATGTCCGCCGCACACCTCGGCACCTGAGCGCTGAGTGCCGTCAGTGCAAACGGCAGCAATACGGGAGCACCGTCCCCTCACGTCGAGGTGCTTCCTCCCCACTGCTGTGAACAGACACCTCTGTTGGACGTGGGCCCTGGGATCAGAGGTCGAAACACAGCTTACGTAGCATTTTTAGTTACCAGTCAATCTCTTCACAGCCTTTGTAAGGCAGCTAGCCCTGAAAAGCCTGGAAGTTTCCATTTGGATGCGCTTAGTCTTCCATCTGAGCACACAGTGGGATTATTCTTCCAGAGTTCTGTTCACAGGACAGGAGATAACGTGCAGCTTTCAGCTTTTAAGGTTGTGGCCACCACCACTTGCATTAGAAAATCTCGCCTGGCACTCTGAAGGCAGTTTGAGCCAAGGTAATGGCTGCAACAGCCGTTCAGAGCTGGAGCTGAAGCTCCCCTTTCTGCAGCTCCCAGCGCACTTGCTTTGCGAGGAGAAGGTGGGGAAAGGCCCCCAGTAGTGCTTCCTACAGCTCTGCCGGCCACGGGGGTGGCCGAGTGAAACCTCCGACATCCCACGAGCAAGTTTGGAAACAGCCAGAACACTGAGGCCGTGGTTTGCCCTCTGCCATAGGAGACATGTTCATAGACAAGCTAATTTGAGTGCCCAGACCTGGCTGCCAATCAAGCTAGTTAGCTTTGCAGCATCCGCAAGATCTGGGACTCAAGATACTTTCACACATCCAGCTGAGAGAGGGTTTTTTGCTATTCCTCACACTTAGTTCTAGTAGTCACTTAAATACAACTTTTGTGTTATTAGAGGTATGTCAGATCTGGCTAAAAACTGCTGTATCTTTTGGTTGGTGAATCCAAAATTCACTCAGCCTAGATAATTCTTCTTGAAGAAGATAATTGATAATGCTTCTTGAAGTAGGTTTTATTCCAAGTGGTTTACTGGAAAGTTTCGGGGAGTCCATCTCCCTTGGAGCTGCTGGTAAATCTAGCACAGATTTCAGCAGGTACAGATCTGGGCTGTAATTTTATCATGTTTCTGTTTACAGTCTCCACTTTGCTTCTTGGCTACCTGCCAGAGAGACACTATAGGCAGCATTAGATAATCCTGCCCAGTGTGACCAAAATATACCCCACTGATACTGACTCTTCCATCTAATTTACTGTAGCAGCCATTCTTCACTCAGTGGCTGCTGAAACCAAAATGTACACAAATACTGGAGAAAAGTCTTTCAGTTGTCATTCAGAGCACCTGACCCTGCCTTTCTCCTTGCTTCCAGATTCAATGCTTTTGTTCTTATTTCACCTACAATTCCAACTGCATATATTATTTTATAGCACATTTAGAAAAATATAAAATGCTTCCTTAGTATATCATCTCAATACCACTTCAACCTTGACAGAGTTGACTACCCAAAATAAAAAATACTGCCTTGTGTTGTTTTTAATGTAACAAATCATATCCCCTGCTTCTTCTCAAGCATGACCTGCTTATCTGTTAGAGATTAACTAAAAATCTACACCATGCACACGAGTCCTTAACCCAGTATAAACAGCACATTCCTAATCTCTAGAAAAAAAGTGCATATCAGGCTGGATCCTGTGAGCTAAAACAAAGCACTGTCATTGCTCAAGAGGTGTGTGTGTAGCAAGAGGCAAGGATCACAGCAGCAGGCAGCAAGGGCAGTGGAGTGAAGTAATAAGCAGGTGAAATAATGGCTGTACATGGCAATGCAGAGTTAATGGCTAATCTAGGGATTTTGTGGCTGGCCTCAGTTAATCTTCGTGGAAGACTACTAAAGCACAGTATTTCTTTGTGAGGATGTATGTGTATTGGATCAACAGTAGACCATGTGTGTCCCAAATTTGTGTGCTTTCATATATATGCACTGTTTATCTGATTCTGAGCACTGATAAAGTAACTGAACTTCAGAAATGATAACTTATGCATGGAAAGTACATAGATCACTCTGAAAGTAATGCCTTTTATTTATTTCCATTGAAACTACAATTGAAACAAAGAGCACAATAACACTGTTTGATTCTCAGCTACAAAACACTTTTTTTCAGCACAGTCACCACTATGAGCTATGCTTTTTCACGAGCAATGAACTAGAGCCTGTATGACGTGCTTGAAAAAATCTGCACCAGTGGAAGTGATCTGCTGTCTCTGTCACCACTGCTGAAATACACCACGCACTGCCTCACTGAATGGTGCCATTTATTCCATGTGGAGGAATTCAGTGACACCCCTTTGCTTCATACACACTTCCATGTCAGACCTCGTGTCATACTGCAACAAAATGTAACAGAATTGTGATGAGGGGAAGTCCAACCCCTACTGCCATACCACCATCTGCCTCTGACATCATGGGCCAGCATAACAAAATAGGAAGCGTTACTTTCAGAGCAGCCCTCAAAGTACATACGTACATATACATGTAGTTTGTACAGGATGAAGATAAACTGCTAACAACTTCCATTTGGTATTGCGCTTAAGAGGAATGAAAGTTAGTTCTTACCAGATAGAATGAATTTTAAAAATTCCTGATTCTTTGTATTTTACTTTTCTTGGCAAAACAGATCTGTCCCTTCAGGAGTAGCTGTTGATGAATCACAAGAATAAAATTTGTTTCATGGTTAAATGAATGACAAAACAACTGTAACTTGAGCTGACACCATTTTTACATTATCTCAATTTCACTTCTCTTTTTGAGCTTTAAAACTTTCGTCCAGTGCAGTAACAGGCCTTCACACTGGAGCAACTCTTTCACAAGACATTTTTATCTGTGAACCACAGAGAATAAGGTTGACTTCATGTTAAGAAATGAGTAAAGAAAGTTTGGAAAGGTTCATGTAACATTTTGCCTGGGTTTTGCTCATGAAGAGAAAAATGGGTAGCAAAGAAAAAGGCACAGATACTGACAAAACTCAGTAATAGTATTATTACCTGTTAGTAGTTTGGGGAATGTATGCCACTCATAGCTAGGTTCAGACATTCTTGTTTCTGGTAGTCAATGAATTCCTCTTCCCAACTGTCACCAAGCCTTTAAGAAGCAAAGCTTTTTTTGATGATTCAAAAATCTTCAGAGGTCTGGCTGTGGGTAACAGTCCTGGAGTAGGTAATGGTAAGTTGTGTCAAGAAAGGTAAAGGTGAATAAGTAGAACATTGTCAATTTCAGAAGGACTGGCTGGATAAATGAAGGAACCCGGCAATAAAGTCAGCTTGGGCAATTACATCAGCAATCTGAAAGAAACCTTGAGTATCTCTAACTTAAATCCACTGTGATTCTGATCATACACAAGGCAAAGGGGTTACAGGAAGAGACTTCAAGGCAAAACTGGAAGAGAAATGGCTGCAAGAGAGGTCCAGGTTATAAGCAGAGAGCATAAAACAAAACAGAAAAGTCTGGATCAGGAAAGATATTCAATGTCAATAGCTGTGAGAGACGATGGGAGAATTTATCTGAGAAATTAAGTGAACTTAGAGTTTCCACATGATACCTAGAAAATCAGCAAGATGTTATCCAGCTGAAACATAGTATTGTAAGAAAGAAGTGATGCTGCTCTTCAGTGAGTCAAAAGTGGGGATTAGGGGTAGTCTGTATCTAATTCTAAAACTAAACACATATTTTGTCTCAATTTTCAGTAAAGATGATGATGTTGAACATGGAGTGAGATGGCAAGATGACTAATACTTAAGAGGGAAAGGAAATTGCCAGTATCACATATAAAAGGAAAATAAAGCACAGACTACAGCATATAGGTAGGAAAACGTTAGATAATGCCCATTCCAGACATCAAAATATAAGGGAAATTATTTGTCTCACAGTAAGCTTTCTGAATGTAGCAGGAAATGATAAAGAGTAATGTTGGTTTACAAAGGTGGACATTAACAGATTACCCTAATATCTTTCTTATAATATCATTCACCATCTAGGTGAAGAAGCAGATAACGGGGATTAGCAGAGTAATGTAGGTGATGGACTATCCATAAATGATCAGAGGTAAACTATCTGAGTAAAGAAGGTCTTTGTTTTATAAAAGATCAGTTGGAGGTTAAACCTAGACATTTTCATTTATGACACCAGCAGAAGAAGGTGGTGGGAAATAGAACTGTAAACAGCCCAGTGCTAGGAGGCACAAACAGTAAAGAGAGCTGGGAAACCATACACAGTTAAACTGATGGAGAAATTGGAATACGGATAAATTGAGGAGTTTAAAAGCAAGATGGTTGGGGACTAGTATCAGACATTTCCTCTAGCAACTAGGAGCTTAATGCTTCAAGAAGATCATGAAGAAGGACAGAATATTGTTGTTTATTAGAGCATAATATGAAATGCTATTCAGTTTCAGCATTAGAATGACAAATGCAATCTTAAACATGGCTGGTGACAGGTTAGATGCCTTCACACAGGCACTTAATTAGCAGTGTGCAAGTGCTTATTTGGAGCTCCGCGCAGGCAGTCATGAGCTGGCTCCGAGATGCAACAAACTGAAATGGTTGATGTGCCTCGATTATTTTTGTTGCCTTCCTTTGAGCTTTGTTCACATTCTTAAATTGGGTAGGGACATACAGCCACAAGCTGTCAAGCCAGTTTATAATTAAGCCATGGCTTAGCATGGCTTAATAGGTTACTGCTCCACAGACAAGATGTAATAATTGCCTGTGTACATGTTCTCAGCTTGTCCAGCAGCTGAAGTAACGTGTTAGTTTAAGTTAGTATATTCTGCTAGAGTGTCCTACCTGAAAAGCAGTAGTTTGGGTTGGTAACTCAATCACTTGTGAGTGCATGTTTGCGTGTTCCCCCTGCACCACAGGGAGCTCACAGCTCAGAGCAGAACTGCAGGTAACACAAAAGATACATTGGAAGTGTTATTTTTGCTCTGAGATGAGTCCTTTTGCCATCTAAAATCTTGCCAAATTTTTTACCACAACATTAGAGTATCAGTTTTTGCTTAGCCTATTCTCACCTGTCATCCTTAATGTGCCTCAACCATTATTACTGCTCTGTTTGGTTCTTCACTGAATATCTGAACTTTTGATTATTTTTTCTACCTTTGAATGATGCATTTTAAGAGAGCTTTAAGAGAGGATAGAGAGTTTAAAAGCTTAAGCATAATCAACCGTAAAGTACTTCTGTTCTTATCTTTTAAGCTAAAGTTATTGAAGAAGTTTGGCAAAAAAGCTTGTTTTTTGGCTCCACGAAATACAACGCTTCTCAGTTTTCTAATGCTGTATGGATGCCATCTTTTACAGTAGAGAACATTCTCATGAAAATTCAAAGCCTGAATGTGATTTTCAAAAAGAAAGTTCAAAATTTCAAGACATTATAATCATAATGTGCAGCTTTTAACTTAGCTATACTACTGTCTATGCAATCCCATTGATAACTTTTCCTACCCAGCAACATTTCTGTCATAAAAGCATCTCTTAAAGAAACCAAATAATAATATGTTAACTACTTCCCGTTTAATCTTTGTGATCTTTTCCTCATTTATATGGAATCCAGGTTTTAACTAATTCCCTAAATAAGAAAGAAAGTCAAGAAATGAAACAAACCAAGAAAAGTAAACCCTGACAAACAGAAAGAGAAAAACCTCTGTTTTTCTCACATCTTCTCTCATCTGAGTAATGGTCCCTGGTATCCAGCCCTCGTGCTGCACAATCCCAGAAGTGGCCCAGCAGACCAGGGCTGCAGGCATGACTGGCTGTGGGCTCACTAATATGGTAGCACTCGTTGTGACTCAGTCACCAGCAGCAGCCCATCAACAGGCTGCTCGCCGCATCGCTGATGGGCAAATCTAAGAAGCAGGATGGGGAAGAAGGGTCATGCTGACTCCTAAAGGAGCTCCCCCCCAAAAAGAGTTAATTCTTCCTCTTCCAGATTTTCATAAGATGCTTTGATGGGTGATATCCCTGACCATCAGAGCGGCTCATGTCAGAAGCTTTGTTTCAACATGGCCACTTCAATTGAGCTCAGACAAGAGAGTTTAGCCTTCTCTGTGATAAGTACAAGTAAGCCCTCAGCGTTTTCTTGCAGTACCCACAGGTCAAAAATGAAGGTTTTTAATATTAAGATATCTATAATGATTCTTCACAGAGAAAAGCAAAGGAGAATGTAAGCCAGGCTCCATGTTGTTATTTATTCAGTAAACATAAATATGCTGTATTTAGTTTTGAAACTGTGGTTAACTATTTCTTTGTTTAGGCATTAAATTTGTCCTAAAAAGGAGGATGTGTGTATTTTTTCTATTAGCAAATATACATTAAGATTATTCATGTTAAGAATATTAATTTGTATAAGGTATCCTTCTGGCTTCTAGAAATAATGCTAGTGTCTGGACTAGGAAAAAAAAAATTAACACTCGGATACATTCTCACCATGGTGACCTACAAGAGAACTGTCACAACAGAAGCTGCTGTTGCCACTACAATTTCCAGAACTCCTGCTGTTTGTGTTGTTGCTGAAGAGAAAATCCACTGCCCTTTGCTGCACTTAAAGCTCAGTAAGATCAGATTGCAGCTTAAAGATAATGTTCACTCTTCACTGTACATCAGTATCAAAGAGAAAAATAAGATGATCAAAATATGCCAATCATAATAATAGCATCAACGTTAAGTATGCTGCACACTTCCTTTGAGGTAGCGAGTGCTCTGACTCCCTCCTGTTTCAGCAAAGGGAAATTAGAGTTGTGATGAGAGCCTTTGGGTTCAGCTCTGTTCAAACCAGAGTGCCACTAATGACAGTAACAATAAACTCCCTACAAGAAGTAGAGGATTGATTCCCCTCAAAGGCAAAAAGAAAATCTAGCAGTGTTTTTGGAACACAGAAATAAATTAGTGTTTCCAGTTATCAAAGAGAAAATGCAAAATAAGAATAGGCATGTCTCTGCACAATTACTGTTCTGAACTCTGTTCCCACATTCTACCAAAGGACTGCCAATTAAAGCAAGCATGTTGCAAAGGTGTCTTACTGCCAATAGAGCAAGGAAATCAGTGAAAAGCATAAAACATACCTTTTAAAACTGTCTACTTATTACCCAACCAAGTAAGTTTATTTTAAATGCCTAATTCTGAAGATAATTTAAGCTAGTTACAAAAGGAAATGGGATTTAAAACGTGTACATTCAACTTCAGAGAAATGGAGCACAGTTTCATGAATTTTACACTCTTCTGTACAGATATGGAAAAAAGCCATCTTGCTGATGATAGGACTTGACACATTAAAAGCAGTACTTCTGGAAATGAAAGGGCCCCCAAAAGATCTCTGGTTGGCCTAGTCAGTACCAAGAAGCTCTGGAATAAATAACACAGAATATCTATAATTAAACACAGCTAAGGGAATTAGAGTTGGAAGTTGCTATGATAGCATAAAGCCTCTGAAATGATAAAGTGAGAAAATGAGAGAAATGAAAATTATTTGCAAAAATGCTCCAAACCCTGAACAGATCATCAGCATTAGCGACATCTTAGGTGTGAACTCTATGATTTCATTCCTTTTCCACAATCTGTAAAGTTAGGATCTGATGAACTGTGTTGATATTTTTGTTCTATGAAACGTACAATGTCTAAAAAAGTTTTATAATAGAATTTATGCCTACTGGGAAATGGAGACTCAAATCAAATTATAATTCAACAGAAGCAGGAAGGTAAATCTAAGTTTGGAAATCAGTGTGTCAAAGGATTATTGCATATCAGAGATGATTTGTTTATGGACAAACCTAAATGGATTTCATTTGCATTCATAAAAATAGCTCAGGTTGATCAAAACTACCTTATGATCCATTTAAATTCTTTCTAAATCGAAGGAAGGAAGAGTGAATGTTCAATGAAATGTTCTGAAGTTTATCCTCTCTCGCAATGAGGCAAGTCTTTGGGTGGAGGCAGGCAAAAACCCAAAAGAGAAGTACGCTCTAAAGTGCAGCTGTACTGTCTCCTTGGCTCCTCAGAGAAATCCTAAGTGATTGCCAGAACAAGGAACATGTTCAAATTGGATTTTCTTGCTTCTATGCTTTTTGTTTGTTCATTTGTTAAGTCTATTTCCATTTTGTAGTAACCCTTGTTTTGCTAGTACAATCTTTTCTTTCTTTCCTTAAACTTGCTTGTAGT